GAGGCATTTCATTGGCAATTTCCTTGTTTAGACTGGCTTTCCACTCTAAGTGGCCTCAAAATACCTTTACAGATAAAGAAGTGCCAGTGGGTTCCTATACATTTTAAAAATGCCATACATTATGCCTATTGTAGAATATAAAGTCACATAAGTACAGATTAACCACATAAATAAAGAGTACCTTACTGCTTTTTAACATCACAAGATTAGATGACATGCAAAAGGTTAACAATAAGTAAGATGAATAAGTGCTTGGATCATTCTCTCTCTCTCTCTCTCTCTCTCTCTCTCTCTCTCTCTGTGTGTGTGTGTGTGTGTGTGTGTGTGTGTATGTGTTTAAATAGACCATTTGATAGATTGTTTATGGCACAAATAGGCTAAGGAAGATGTTTCAAAAAAAAATGCCTGAGCAAAACATTTAGACTGCATCACCATAGCCACGTTAACACAAAAAGAAAGCTGTCTTAGAGAAAAGGTCAGCCACAAAACAATGTGATCATCGTGAATGATGCCAAGTCAGAAATAAACTACCCAAAGAAGAGCTAGACAGAATTATGACTGCTTTTCCTCTTCACATATCCCATGAGTACATTTAGAAGGAGAAGCTGAAATCGGTTTGTTCAGTTTCAACTACCTGAACAGCTGAGCAGACACTAGTTTTGTCATCAAAATTCTAACAGCTTGCCTTCCCCTTCCAAACTCATGGGAATTTCGGAAGGATGATATCTATCTAACCAGGAACCAGGAAAAAATGTTAAGGCATTAATACCCTGTTCTACTTCCTTCTTCACACGCTCTTAATGCCCAGCCTGATGAAAAAGTCTGGAGAATTTGATCACTTCCTCATGACTATGTGACATTCTGGTTGATCTTAATAAAGGTATTCTTCTGTTACAGGTTTTTTTCTCCTAATTGACCAACACAGCTATCTACAATTCTTGCCTGCATCATAACAGCTCACAATAATTGTTGCATTTGTTGTTGTTACTCATTAAGTTGTGTCCGACTCTTTGAGACCCCATGGACCAGAGCACGCCAGGCCCTCCTGTCTTTTACTGCCTCCCGGAGTTGGGTCAAAGTCATAGTAGTAGCTTGGATGACACTGTCCAACCATCTTGTCCTCTGATGCCCCCTTCTCCTCTTGCCTTCACAATATCATTGCATAGTTGTCCCCAAAGTTTAGAATCTGAAAGCTCAGTATCTTCTAACAGCTCCCTCTATGAGCCTGCTCCAAGTATTCTGATCATCGGGAGGTGATTTTCTCTTGGTATGTCTGGTGGGGACAAGGAAGAGGGCCTTCTCCGTTTCTGCTCCTAGACTCTGTTTCTGCTCCTAGACTTCGGAACTTCCTCCCAAAGGAGCCCAGGCTGGCCACATGCATCTTTGCTGTCCTTCTGCAAGCAGGTGAAGACCTTTCTTTTCAAACAAGTTTTCCCTCAGTGACTGGCTGCCTGAGTGGGAGTTTTCAATGGACTGTTGTATTTTGCTACCTTGAATGTGTTTTGGTTGTGCTTATGTTTTTTAGTACGATATTTGTTTAATATTTACATACTCCCTGTTGTTAGCTCTTCCTTTTCCTTTTCAGGAAAGCTTTCTCTAAGCGACCAGCTACCTCAGTGGGTTTTTTTAATGGACTGTTGTACCTTACTGCTTTGACTGTGTAGACTCACTGATGTTAGCTGCCTTGGGTCCTTTTAAGTAGAAAGGTGGGGTAAAATATTTAAAATAAAATACATAACATTTCTGTGGTTTTAAGATTATGAAATAAGATCTACTTTGGTTGTTGTGGGTTTTTAGGGCTCTTTGGCTGTGCTCTGAAGGTTGTTCTTCCTGATGTTTCGCCAGTCTCTGTGGCCGGCATCTTCAGAGGACAGCACTCTGTGCTCTGGTGTAGTTGGCTTGGGAGTGGAGTATTTATGGCTGTGAGATGGGCTTTTGTCTTTTCCTGTAGATGGGTGATTAGTGTGTCTTGTTGTGGATGTATTGTTGTGATAAGGAGGAGAGATTATCTGTCACTGTGGTTGATGGATGTCATTAGCTTATCTTTTGTGTGTAGTGATCCCCAGTCCTTGTGGCTGGGTAGAGTTCGTTGACCTTTTGCGCGCTCTATTCTTGAGAGCTGGGAGCCAAGTTTTGTTGAGTTTCAAACTTTCCTCTTTTTGTTGAAGTTCTGCTGGTGCTTGTGGATTTCAATGGCTTCCAACTGCAGTCTAATATAAAGATTGCTGGTGTTGTCCAGTATTTCCGTATTTTGAAATAGAATTTCATGTCCAGCTTGTTTTAGGGCATGTTCAGCTACTGCAGATTTTTCTGGTTGTTTTAGTCTGCAGTGTCTCTCATGTTCTTTGATTCTGGTGTGGACGCTTCGTTTTGTGGTACCAATATATACCTGGCCACAACTGCAAGGTATCCGGTATACTCCTGGGGGGTCACGGACCGCATGGGGAAACTTTTGAAAAAACACAACCTACAAACAGTATTCAAGTCCCCCACAAAAATACATAAAGAAAGCTGACCCCCGAAGAATTGATGCCTTTGAATTGTGGTGCTGGAGGAGACTCTTGAGAGTTCCCTGGACTGCAAAGAGAACAAACCTATCAATTCTAAAGGAAATCAACCCCGAGTGCTCATTGGAAGGACAGATCCTGAAGCTGAGGCTCCAGTACTTTGGCCATCTCATGAGAAGAGAAGACTCCTTGGAAAAGACTTTGCTGTTGGGAAAATGTGAAGGCAAGAGGAGAAGGGGACGACTGAGGATGAGATGGTTGGACAGTGTCATCGAAGCAACCAACATGAATTTGACACAACTCCGGGAGGCGGTGGAAGATAGGAGGGCCTGGCGTGCTCTGGTCCATGGGGTCACGAAGAGTCGGACACGACTAAACGACTGAACACACACACACACACACACACACACAAATACAACAAATGTTACGGTCAGCAAAGGACGGAAGGGACCCCCTCACCACTGCAGGAGTATACCGGATACAGGAAGTATGTAGAACAAATGTTTAGATATATGTTGTAATTGTGTTCAATGGATCTTAAACTAGGCAAATAATGCAATCATCACTTTATTTATCTGCCTTTGCATTCTTTCAATTGCTTGGCACGGTTACTTCTCCTCCCAACCACCCCATGGAAAACAACTCTGAGTAACTGGTGTAGAAAATTGACATGGATGCCTTTAAAAAATTCCATTCTTGTAAGAGACTCAAAGGGGAAAATAATATGCATATTCCTCATGGACATTATCACAGTATTTCCCAATTATCGGGCATATTATTAACTCTCTTCTTGGAGCTAGTAACACATGCATTTGAAGATTTATTTAACAGACACATGCACACACATAAAATTCCCCAAACACTTCCCACCCACTAAAAAAAATCCCCCAACTATTCACTACTGGTGGTCTTTAAGCTCATTAACCCACTGTGAAAACTGAGGCTTCTCAAAATTAAAGTTAACGAGGTCCTAAAGCAATGGACATTTATTTGTTTGTTTGTTTGATTTATTTATTTATTTATTTATTTAATTTAATTTATACCCCGTCTATCTGGTCATTTTTACTTTTACATCTGCAAAAGTAAAAATGACACAAGAAAAAGTGAACCGAAAAGCATGCGCCTATGAATGAGTGTGAGCATGTTAGTGTGAGTACGAGAATTTTTTTTTCTCCCAAGCAGCAATTCCTTCTTGTTCCACTGACAGCCCTAATTTTTCTGCATTCTTATTGGGTTCTTAACCTTCACCCTTAAAATTCAGTTCTCTGTCAGCAGGTGGCCAACTGGGAGAAAAAAATGCCTTGTACCACCTTTCTTTGTTCCCAGAGTAAATCATATCTTTGTCTAGCCTTGTATCAGGGTACACTCTGGTCGCAGAGTCATTGAAAATATCCAACTGTGTAGCCTTTCCGTACTGTTTCTTTGCCTTTCAGCTTGGACAAGGTCTTGTTGACACAGCAATCATGTATCTGCATTTTTTGTTGTTTTTGTTGCTCATTCCATATTGCAAAAGCTCAGACTGAGAGCTGAGCTTTTGCTCGGCAAAATGAGTTTCTTTCCGCCTGAGCTTTTGCATCCTATAGAGGAAACAGCGGAATATATCGAGGAATCATGCTGTTATGAAACAAATGAAAGATTACTTCAATTCCAATCAATAGGTAGGTTGGTCCACCAGTTGGCAGTCCAGTCCATAGGCCATGTATCTATAGGCCATTCCAATCCACAGGTCCACAGGCCTTTTATTTATTCTGTGTAGCCTTAGACCCTAAAAGTTGGACCTGAGTTACAGTCACTCCCTTGAGATCTAGTCTGGCATGTACTTGCCAAACTGAGATCTTACACTGATTTATCGTAAATCAAGTTAGGTACTTTAGCTATGGCATGAACCAACACAAATCCTCTCTAAGTCTGTCTGTAGGACATTAAACAGTTGTTTAAAATCTCTTTGACACTGTCATTTTTTTAAAAAAAAGTGAAATAAATAAAATGTGGGTAGAAAACAAGAATTAATTCAACAGGACTGAACCTGGTCAGTACTGAATTGTAAACATATGATGATCCAACACTACTTCCACTAGACAGTGCTAAACAGGAAAAGTAATTACAGTAAAAAAAAATTGCACAGACCACAGCTTTGCAAATGCTTTGGATGAAGAACATACAGTATGGGAATATAATTATATTAACATAATTAGTATTTTAAAAGTAGCTATGAAAAAAGATAAACATAATTTGAAATACTTACAATAGAAGTATAAAATGTATAATATAAGTTATGCCTAGCAGAATACCCCCTAAGTATTTCATAAGCTGAACGTTTAGAGGTGGCTCTGTATAATTCCGTTGCATTTGTATAATATAAAGGAGTTACTCTACAAAAAACTTATTAAGAATTAGTATTAAAAGCTTTTGATTTCAGAAGAAAACAACAAAACAGTCCATATTCTGTTTCAAACAACACCTAAATATGAAGACAAATGTAGAAAAACATACCTGAAAAAGAACATAAACAGGGCAGCTGTAATGCAGAACAGAAGAACCTACAAAGAGGGAAAAGAACATCATGTAAAGAGAAAATATTAACAAGCATGTCTAAACTGATGTTTTGCTGCAGAAATCTTAAATAATTTAGCCAAGGAATTAAATTAGACAGTCTTTATCTTTAAAGATGTTACAGAAGAAAAGAAAGCTCGGTTTGGGGACTCAGATCATTTTAATAATTATTAGGGAATTTTAATATTTCTATAACAGACAACTGTGATGAAACTGAACATGTCATCCATTCATAAGGTCTCCATGAAGCAGAAGCAACCTGGTTGGATGTAATGACAAAAAAGTAGTATTTTTGTTGCTAGGAGGACAGATGATGGTCACTCGCCCTTAGAAAGAAACAGAATTAAAGATACAGTACTGTAGACTCACTCTTATGTGAACATCTCATTGCCAGGAATTCTTTAAGTCTCTCGGGTAAAATGTTTGGACTTCTGCCATTCCCACCAGAACCCCACCACAAACTATAACAGAGGAAATCACTGGGATCTGGGTTAAGCAACAACTACTTAAGCATCCTGATAATAGCCCAACTCTTACTTCGGCACTTAATGAAACTACACCCAACATATAAATGGTGCTTATGACTTCCTGCTGTTCCCTCCACGTGCTTTTCCTGCTACCTACTGGCATAAATCCATGCCTAATTTCGGCACAGATATGCCGCTACAGTTGCTTCCTCATGAGTTTGTCCAAGTTAATTATTTTATTTTTCCAGCCATGGGTGATGTTGGCAGCAGTTCAAATTGCTACAAGGGCTTTTTGATCATTAACAGCCAACTTGGGAGCACATGATTAGATAAAAACTGGATTCAAACTAAGCTCACTGTACTCCTTTGTAAAGGCAAAAATAGAGTTTGTTGGTTTTCAAGTTGCCGTTCCTCCTACCCAACACCCCCAAACAGCATTCCCAATTGTCAGTATTCATTGCACAGTCTACAAAAAGGAAGATGAAATTTTAGGGCACCTTTACAACGTTCTATGTTACTCCTAAGCAAATAATGCTCTAAATCTAACCTTTGATGTTTACCAACTCTACAAAATAAACTTGTCCCGCCTGGGTGTCTGGCTCAGATGTTAGAGCACACTGTAAGAGCCACACAGTCCTGAAGACAACCTTGCTCTAGGACGTTAGAAGTCAAAGTTGGGGTGGGGAATTGAGAGTTTTAATTCTTTGTGAGAATTTTAAACATAGCTCATAATTAAATGAAGCTGCAGGAAGTTTCTCACATAGCTACATAAGGTTAGTTTTAAATGATTTATCAGGGTCTCTTGGGGGCAGCACAGGAAAAATCCATTTCTATTGCCGAAGGCACTAAGGATTTTAAAAATAAATATGCTGATATTTTTGGCTCAACTTTCTTGCGTTTAGCTCAACCCATCACAGGGTCCTTAAGAACACCTATGAAAGTGAATTTCTACTGTATCAGTAGAAAGGGAAGAGAAATGGAACACATCCTTGCACATTCTATTCAGAGTTAGAAAACACAGCCTCTTCCCCCAAAAGTTTACTCCCAAGTTGTTGTTTTTCCGGATAGTGTATTTTAGCTTTGGACAGTAATTCAGCCTCCTTTTTGTCTTTGCTGCATGGACAGATCACCACATAACTGTAACAGGGAGACAGGGCTATATAGTGCTGAGTAATGGTGTGTCCTGTGGAACCATACTTCACTGTCTAATTCAGTGTGGGAAACCATACTTCAAATTTCCATTAGCAATATCTAATCAGCTCTGCTGAGGACAGACAAATCAGTGAAATCTGACTTTGTTTAGCTTCTCAGTTTTCTAGACTTCAGTCCACTCCATCCCATTCCTGAATCAGTTTGTACTTTTTAAAAAAGGATTGTAATGTATAAACATTCATGAATATTTTTCCAATATGTACTATTTTGGAGAGCACTTGCCTAATATAAGCATTTTTGTAATCAGTTGTACTTATCATAATGCTGGCTTGTTTGTCCTCTTACTGTGGTGTTTTGTATATTAATATTTCCTCTACACCTCAAAGATATTTTTGTATTTATCTTCTTTTAATACATATATTTTTGTGCACATGGTTTGTTCGAAGACCTGCACTACAAAATTCCAAGAAGTACAAATAACAAAAAATAACTGCATTCTAGTTTGCATGCTGATATGAGAATTTTTAAAACTCCTATCAAACTATGAAGCAAACAAAATTCTTGCTTGTGAGGAACCATGCGTATTCTAAATAAGAGAGTATTTAGCGATGCAAAAAAAAAATCTTCTTATAACATTCAAATATGTTGCAGCCCTAAACTCAGAAGACATATCAAGACATAATTCACTAAGTTGGCCTTAAAAAGGAAACAGGCTAAAATATCGACACTAAGCACTGAATTAGATTTTTTTTAATTTCATAGATCAAAAATGAAAAAATAAATAAATTGGAAGTTCTCTGAAAAAGACAAAGATATTTTATGGCATACAAAATTGTATGTGCATTCGGTGGAAACAAGAGCAGTAAATTATCCTGGACCCTGCTGGAATTTTACTCTAATTTTTTCTTGCCATGAACCATTCACAGTTGATTGATGTCAGAAGGTCAACAAACCAAGCACTGAAACATACAGATCTTGAAATCTTCCAGCTGTATAAATAGCTGTATCCAGCAGAAAGACTGCAAATACCTGTACCCAATAGAAAGACTAAAAGTATCCAGAAAGATTAATATATACTTGAAGATTTATTTTCATATCATTAATTGTTGCTACACTGTTTCTATTACACAATCAAGAGCATTAGCTTACAGTTCACGCATCAGCAAAAGTGTGTCTAGAGGCATCAGCTACTACTTATCTCATCAAAACAGAAATACAACAAAATGATTTAAAGATGAACTAATTGCTGCTTTTTAGCAAAGTTCTCACTCAATACAGACCTGAGGCAACAGTACAAACACTTGTCATAAGCCAGTTAAAATTTTTAGGAGCACAGTTTTTAGTTGTCAGTCATAGCTGTTTTAGCCATCAGTCATGTATTCCAGACTTTGGAATATGGAGCTTGCTTAAACATAATGTTGCTTTATGAAATAATACTAAATAAACACAAATTATAAAGCTGTGATCAAGCTTAAGGAAATGGCTTTGCAGCTTTTCTTTTTTCTCTTGAATATAAGAACACTTTGCTTTGTCTAGCTCCTCCCCATACTGCTAGCAGCTGACAACCTGCTGCTGTTGTTGTTGTTGTTGTTGTAGCTGCTGTTATGCAACTCCAATTGGCCTCCAGTTTATGGCAACCAGGTGAATGAATTATCTCTAAAATGTCTCGTCCTCAACAACCCATGCAAACACAAGCCCCTGCTTTCTTTAAGGCATTTCCATGGCTGACCAGAGATTGGAGGTCAGGTCTCCTGAGTTTTAGGTCATCACTCTATCTACTACACCCAACTGGGTTGGTACTGGGTAGACTTCTCCATACACGTGTCTATCTGGACAGCAGGGCTATCCGAAGTAGGAGAATTATACATCAGCCACTAACATCATCGTCCCTAGAAGGGACGTGGTGGCGCTGCGGGCTAAACCGCAGAAGCCTGTGCTGCAGGGTCAGAAGACCAAGCAGTCGTAAGATCGAATCCACGCGACGGAGTGAGCTCCCGTCGCTTTGTCCCAGTTCCCGCCAACCTAGCGGTTCGAAAGCATGCAAATGCGAGTAGATAAATAGGGACCACCTCGGTGGGAAGGTAACCGCGTTCCGTGTCTAAGTCGCACTGGCCATGTGACCACGGAAGATTGTCTTCAGACAAAACGCTGGCTCTATGGCTTGGAAACGGGGATGAGCACCGCCCCCTAGAGTTGAACATGACTGGACAAAAATTGTCAAGGGGAACCTTTACCTTTACCACTAACATCATGGCACCATCTGGGGCACTAAACACCACACCAACCAGAATCTTCCTTGTTGCTGGCATGAAGGAAACAGCCCACTGCCTTCTATAAAGTGCCACAATATACTGAAAACTTTCATAAAGTGATGCCTGCAACTCCAACATCAGCCCCACACAGCACAACCAATGGTAAGAGATAATGGAAGTTATAGTTCAAAATACAGTATATCTGAGAAGTGAGTACACCCTCTCATATTTCATAAATACTGTAGTACAGTGGTGCCTCGACTCACAAACTTAATTGGTTCTGGAACTCCAGTTGCAACTTGAAATGGTCATAAGTCAATTTCGAAGCACCATTTCCCATAGGAATGCATTTAAATGCAATTAATCCATTCCAGCTGAAGAAAAAAAATCACACAAAAAAGCACCTCTGCAAAACCCATCGGAAACACAACTAATCCATTCTGGCCAAAGGGGGGGAAAAGAAAAGCAAACAAACCATGCAAGACCCTTTGGAAATTCGGAAATGGGGGAAAAACAAAGCAGAAAGCAAACAAACCCTGCAAGACCTATCGGAAATGGGGAGGGGAACCAAAAAAGCAAACAAACCCCGCAAGACCCATCACAACATAGAAACATAATCCCATCACCCAGCCCAAAACCACGCTGCAAAACCCACCCAGAACAGTTTTTTAAAAGTAGAAAGCAGCACCTTACCAGGCAGTCCAAAGCCTCCTCCAATCACACACTCTCTAACCACTGGGGTGAAAGAGCTACAAAGAAGCAGTCTCTTTGCCACCAACAGTTAGCAATTTGAATTCCCCACTTTTTTCCCCTGCCCATTTCTGCTTGTAACTCAAAGCTCCAGTCACAAGTAGAAGCAAAATTTTGCTGCCAGAGTTGGTCATAACTCAAAATGGCAGTATGCTGGGACGTTCATAAGTCATGGAACCACTGTATGTCTTTTCATGTGACAACACAGAAGAAATGACACATGGCTACAATGTAAAACACTGAGTATACAGCTTGTATAACAGTGTAAATGTGCTGTCCCCTCAAAATAACGCAACGCACAGCCACTAATGTCTAAACCGCTGTCAACAAAAGTGAGTACACCCCTAAGTGACAATGTCCAAATTG